TATAAGCGCTCGGCTGTCCATTCGACCTCGGTAAAAACACGGCGTCACCACTAACAAGCAGTCGGCCCCGGCCTCGGCCATCCTCTGGCTCATGAGGACCGTTCCTCTGGTGGCTACAACAACACACACAGAGGAGGACAAAACAACATCTGGTGTGTAAATCTTATATATGATATATGTGAATACATTTAGCACAGTAGCACACGTGCGATACAGTTTTGCATGTGTGTGAGACAGAGCAGCTTGAGTGAAGTGACAGTTTGTTGTCTATGGATGTGAAACACATCTATGGATTAAACAGAAATTAAGCGATTATGAAATTGCAACATTTTAAATGAAAATACCCGAGAGGTCTAGAAAAACACGGCCGTTGTATTGTCGCAATGTGTTTGTTGTCTTCATACTTCATCATTCAATACGTCTCTCACCTAAAGGATTATTAGGAACACCACTAATACTGTGTTTGACCCCCATTTTCACACCATTCTTTGTAAACCCTAGAAATGGTTGTGTGTGAAAATCCCAGTAACTGAGATCAGATTGTGAAATACTCAGACCGGCCCGTCTGGCACCAACAACCATGCCACGGCCAAAATTGCTTAAATTTGAGGTAGACCGATTAATCGGCCGATTTTTGGCATTTTTTTAACATAATCGGCATTCGGCATCGGCCAATATCCAAGATATAGATATAGACAATAACGGTTAGACTGAAAAATGTCAAAATTGAAAATGCTGTGGAAACAAAGACACCTACATCTTGGATGCCCTTGAGGTAAGCTAAAACATAGCAAAAATTAATTTCAAAGTGAACTATCCCTTTAAGTGTGACTGTATTTCACTGTAGACTAAAAGGTCCAACAGCGGGATGCCGTTGTCTGAACAGACGGACGGTGCGTTGTGGAGCATTAAAAGTTTTTGTAAAATATTTTCCCATCTGGTGGTTGTTTTTGTCGTTCAACAGCAATTTACAAGTGAAATACGTTGTTGTTAGAAGTTAAATTAAATGAAATTTCTCCTTTTTTGTGATAATTAGGTTATGTTTCAGGACATTTTTTGAGAGGATAAAATGTTTTTGTTGAGAAAGTTTGTCTATGTTAAGTAATTATCATTTCTTTTACATTTTATCTTTCAAATAGAGGTTAAAAACCAAGTAAATATCGGCCAAAATAAATCGGCAGCATTTATCGGCCATCGGCCGACCCGGATTTCAAAAGATCGGTATCGGCGTGAAAAAACAACAACATATCGGTCGACCTCTAGTTTAAATCACCTTTCTTTCCCATTCTGACATTCAGTTTGGAGTTCAGGAGATTGTCTTGTCCGGCAAGGAGGATGAATTAAACCGACACTACATAACATGTGTGACCTCAATAATGCTCACGACAGCATTATAGGGATAAGTAAACATGTAAATCCTTCTGTCGAGAAGTGTACAGGTTTTTCTCCTCTCCGTGGATGTATAAGATATCCTTACAACAGTTACGAAATTGTCGTCACAGATTTTTATAATACTTTCTTATAATTTGTAGGGTGTTTTCAAGTGCTCAACCAAACCGGATGGATGTTGCTCGGATCGTGATTAGTGATATTGCCCTATGTAAACAGAATTGACTTAAAGGGATAGTTCACTTTGAAATTAATTTTTGATATGTTTTATCGTACCTCAAGGGCATCCAAGATGTTGGTGTCTTTGTTTGCACAGTATTTTCAATTTTTATATTTTTCAGTCAAACCGTTCTTGTCTGTCAGTCATATAATGGAGGTCTATGGTCACCACCTCAAAGAGCATGCACAGAGAAGTCCAAATTAAACATGATTTAATGACTCGTAAATGTGAGTACACATTGATGGCCTAAAGACACGAAACGAGCGGTTTGTGTGAGAAAACGAACAGTATTTATATCGTTTTTACCTCGTGTAATCACAGTGATCTGAATCAGTTGTTCAATGTCCAACTGAATCGAACTGAATCAGTTCAATGTTACGCCGGAAGTGATCGCTTGCGTGTGACGTCACTCAATATTTACACAGAGATTTCGGAGGTTTTACCTTTTACTAAACATATTTAGATATACCGAAATCGTCTTCCATTGCGGTTTCCCGTATATCTAAATATGTTTAGTGAAAGGTAAAACTTCCAAAATCTCTGTATAAACAAAGAGTGACGTCACACGCAAGCGATCACTTCCGGCGCATGCGCAGACCGAAGTCAGATCATTTTGTCATGGCTATGATTACAAGAGGTAAAAACGATATAAATACCGTTCGTTTTCTCACACAAACCGCTCGTTTCGTGTCTTAGGCCATCAATGTGTACTTACATTTACGAGTCATTAAATCATGTTTAATTTGGACTTCTCTGTGCATGCTCTTTGAGGTGGTGACCATAGACCTCCATTATATGACTGACAGACAAGAACGGTTTGACTGAAAAATGTCAAAATTGAAAATACTGCGGAAACAAAGACACCTACATCTTGGATGCCCTTGAGGTAAGCTAAAACATATCAAAAAATAATTTCAAAGTGAACTATCCCTTTAATGTTAAGCAAGAGCTGTAGGCAAATAAAGCAAATGTTTGTCTGAAAAAAAAAATTGTTTGTAATTGTGTAAGGAACATTAATGTTTGTTTTATCTTTGTATATAATACAGGCAGAAGAGAGACTTACATTCACAGCCAGATCCAGCCATGACCAGCTGGCGTTCTGGCAGGGCCTGTCTGACCCTCTTCACCACCTCCACCCTCTCCTCCACGGTCAGGTATGGATATTCCCCATTAGAGCCCTGCACTACAAGACCTGCCAGTGGAGGAGTTGACAAATAACACATCTCAACTGACTTTAGCATGAGGAAAAATATTGACATGTCATTTTCAAAAAAGTCCACTAGGTCGAGCACTGTAAAAGGTTTAAAGGTCGACTTTAATCTGCAACGGTTCACTAACATCTGTTTACTAGAGGAGTCACACCAAATCTACATTGTTATTCTGTGTTGTAAGTTTTATATTCATAACATTTAATTACATGATATGCTGTATTGTAGTTTTGATTTGACTGCACGTGTCAAACCTCTATAACTCGCCTCTGAAAGGTAAGTCGCTGTACTTCTTAAGATTGTCTTCAAGTCTCTGATAGTCCACATCTTCACTCTGGGTAAATGGAGTGGCGATGGGAGGATAAATCCCACTTATATCCAGCCTTTTCCCAGCACTCTGACTTGTATTTCTCCATGTTGACACTGTTGATCTTCTGCACAGAAGATTGAAACTGCGAATTGCAAACATGCCAGTGGTTGGGATCTGATTGTAAAAAAGAGGAATAATAATAGATGGTTAAAGGAAAAGGTGAACTCTATACCAAGCAGTTAATTATCAACACACTTGTCAACTCAAAATGCTGACCATGTAGGAAAACATTTAGGAAAACTAAAGTCACTAGAAAAAACTCATCATAAACATAGCATGTATTCGCGAGGCAGACAGTCTTAAAATATAGGCAACATATTGCATAAATAAAATAAAGCATTTAAAATGCTGCTGAGTTTTGCATAGCCTACCTGGTTGCTGCAGATAACTTTGTCAAACAGTTTCACAATGTGTCTCGTTATTACTGATGTGTATTATTATTGTATCTGAAGGAGATAAACAGAGCTGCTTGTGTTGTCATGAGCTCCAGTGAGTGTTGTGTTCACTTTCTTCTGCATAAGCAGGAATGGCTCTTCACGTGACGTCATTGACTGAAAAAAAGTCCGTATGCAAATGTAAACACCCCAGTAGCGCAGGTTTAGCTTTTGAATATTAATGGAGAGGTTGTTCTGAAGTTGCCTGGGAACATTCTTAAAACGTCCTGTCGCTTATTGTAAATAATATTAATTTGGTAGTTTCAACACAGCGCTTGCCTTTCAGCGCAGTCAGCCTCCGTTCATTTTCTCCAAAGGGGACTTAACTTTGAACGACAAGTTATAAAGTCTGTAACAGATGTACCATGAGCTCCGAGATTGTTTATTGATGATATGTACTTCAGTTTAAGCAGTCAGTTCACTTTATTTCATTTTTTAAACTATGTTTACCATTAGTTTAAAACCACACTACCCATGAGCCTGCAGAGAAATATAGACCAATCACAGAATCGGAGCTCTGCGTTGACCCCGCCCACTCTCTGACGCTAATGTCATAATCGCGTTCAAATTAACTCCACACGAATAAACTATATATATATATATATATACAGTATATGTTGTTAAGCACATATTTTCCGTTTTTTTTTTTTTTTGCTTCATATGAAAGTTTGTGATATTCTGATTTACCTCAGAGGTTGGTAACTCTTTAATGAACACTCAAAAAAAAAAAAATACCAAAATAAATGGCAAAAATATTTAACGAAAGGCTGAAACCCATTCTTAAGCATTATTAAAATATTTTTAAAAGACCTGCGAATGTCGCTAATGTGATAATTGAGTTTTTTCCCTTTATGAAAGCTATAACTCATGAATATGATCAAGACTATAGATTTGTAAAGCTAAAAAAAAGAAGAAAAAAATCTGGCTAAAAAAAAAGAACAGATCACGAACTTTCTGGTTCATTCTGTAATCAATGCTAACATATACTCTAAATATTAGTTTACAGTCAAAGTTTGTAGTTATTACTATGGTATGAATAGACAGAATATAAAACGCTTTTCAATTCTTCCAAACAGGTCACAAAACCCATGAACCGCATGCTGTCAAGGTCTTTTTGCTTGATTTCTTGCTTGTCAAGCATCAACATCAGATCCTTTTTAAAATGATTCATAATAGTTTTGAATCAATTCTTATTGTTGTACACTGTCCTTGAATTTTAAAAAAAATCTGTACACTTCTTCCGCCCTACATGACTCCTCAACAACACCGATAAACCTGCGACCTCAGGCGTATTCATAAATCAAATATCGTCCAATTCATAGGCTACTTCATATAGAGCAGGTCATGCCATCACAACAACACCACAGAACTTCAGTCGCTTCACTTCAATGCTCCGCTTTATTTTCTTAAGAGTTTCCTGGTTTTTCATAAACACAGCTTCAAATTCTACACCTGATGACAGAAAACATCAATAGGACGCCATTCACATACAAAAAAATTAAATAAATAAAAACCATAATACGAAAATAATTTTAACAAGTAAAAGTGGATACATGCAGGTGAGGACAACATAATAAAAACAGGTTAAAGTCACACATTCTTCAACATATATGCTTAACTAAACAAAAACCATTCATAAAGTAGTCAAGATTACTCTCAGACAAATAGATTTCTTCATAATTCTTCACACATCACAATAATATCCCTATTTTTACATCATTTCAGTAGTATTTTCCAAATATTTGATTCATTACGTTAAGTAACACATCGTAACTGTTGTTTAATCTTGTTTCATAACACAAAGATTGTTCCCTTTAAGTAGATCCTCCACTGTTTCGTGGGATTATTGACTGTAATAGTAAAGCCAGTTGAGATAAATATTCTGAATCTTCCAAACGACACCTGTAAGACATGAGCATAAGAACGAATCAAATCTCAATTATCCTCATAAATCCAGATTTCAACAGTGATCTGACATGCAGGTTTACCTCCGTCTACTCCCAGAAGTACCGCAGATACCAGATGGTCTCATTTTTAAGCTGAGGCCCGAATAGAGGGTTTGCTTGGGCTAGTATTGCTACTAACCAACTGCAATGAGTGCATACCATGTTAAAAATTCAGAATAATCTGTATATTATTTCATACATTTTAGTTACAACATCACCAAAAACAGCAAAACATGCACTCCAAACAGTGAATTATCATGCATGCATAAGGGTAATATTTGAATCAAATGACCAAATATCAATAAACGTCTGTTTTACCATGATGTAAGGATATACTTGACAGTATTTTCCAAATATTTTACATTATACTCACAATAAATAGCAGCAAACGGCGGTCAGCACCAAACTGGTTATGATAACCCTGTAATTATAAAACACTTTAATCAAAAATCAATGTAATAATGCAATAAGGAATAACACGGCAATGATATTTAAATGAAGCGACTGGATGCGTTTAAAGATGGATGGATGAATGTCTGTTCGGCCTGTTCCAGCATCATTCCTCACCCTCTGTTTGGTCCTTTCGGGACAAAAAACGGGGCGACAATCCCGACCAGACCCCACAGCGTGGTAAAGCAGATCATGGGCAAAGCCAGCGAGTGCGAAACCATTGCGACAATACTGCGTTATTCTGGGAATATTATATTAATGTAAGATAACCAGTTCAATAACACAGCTTGATTCCGTATTAATCCTCTGGTCACGCCCACTTGTTCCTGATTGGGCCGATGGGATTCTGAGTCTGTACGCTATTGGTAGAGAGCAGGCGTCACTCAAACCGAGTCCTTTCTCACTACCACTACACTGACGTAATAACCCATAAGTCATTTAAAATGCTATATATATATATATATATATATTTATTTTTTATTTTTATTGAACAACATCAGTATACAAACAATAATATGAAAATATACACAAATATCTCCAGTCGTAGCCTATATCTCTCATTTTGTAAAATTTCAGCAACAGAATAAACATTATTAATGACTTTAAACTGGATATTCTTCATTTTAGGTACATTTGCCCTTTTAATATAATTACAGTATTTGTTTTCTAAATGTTTCATTAGCCTATTGGAAAAAAAAAATAGTCATCATCGTAAAATATTTACCTTTTGTCCCCAATGTATTCTTTGCCAATCTTCAACTCAGGCAACTTAACAAATACATTTCAATATGTACGTGTGTTTTGTAGGCCTAGTTGTTCTTATGAAAGAGGGATTTCTCTATACAAACTATTACATTCTCTAAAGGAACATGTTATCATCTTAACATCTTGAATGAATGAATTATATTCAATAAATCGACCCGCTATCAAATCTATCAAATCAACAACATATAACTTTTTTCATGTTTTTTTCCCCTCATAACTCTATTGTTTGAATAATGTCTTCCTATTTATTGTATTGGTTCTAGTATCCCACCAGGTGGCGCCATGCGGTCTGAAGTTAATTTGTGTTAGGTAAATATAATTTTCCAGTATATCGTCATATAAGAGCATGAGCAAGAAGGGATGGGGTGCCCATCAGCCGTAGAATAGGAGTGTATGTGGATCACAGTGCAGGAACACAGTCACTCAGCCGCTGGGTTTGCTGTTGGGTATAATTAATTCATCAGTGAAACTGTTGATGCATCAGAATAGACTGTAGAGAGATTTTGTCCATAATTCTTTGAGCTGTTTGATAAACCAGTAACTGTGAGATGAGTTTCTCTTTGTCACATTATTATTATTATTATTATTACAGCTGAACTACTGTCACTGAAATAATATCAGAACAAATGTGTGTAACAAATCTTCATAGACAATAACATGTGCGTGTGTCTCTGTGTGTGTTTGCCCTTTGTCAGCCTTTTTCCTATATATATATATATATAACAACAACTAAGTAACAAATACATGGTTTGGGAACTAACAACAACAAAAAATATCTCTTTGTTAGGGTTTACATTTCGCTTGATACAAAAAAGTCTTTTTTAAAAAAAAGTTTAACTTTTAGCACCTTTACTTTCACTTGTATTGTTTTCCCGCGTTGAGACCCAGTGAACATTTCCTTATCCGTCTTTTTTCATAATTAAAGTCTCTGCGCGCGCTCTCATGCAGGAGTCTCTCATCGCGGGCGATGGAGCCGTGACTCTTATTTTGAATTATGTTTTTCACTAGTGTCTCTCAGCTCTGTGTTTGTCTGGACTCCTGTAACCGCGAAAGACGGGTAGTTTATATTTTCATTCACATCAATGTTTTGGTCTTTTGACAGGTGGTGGGTTCATACTAGTCTTTTATATGTATTGATGCTCGTTGCTTAATAGCAGGGAAAGCCTGCGACGTTCAAGTATTTCAGGTATTGCTCATGGTAGAAGATCTGCGAGTGTAAATAAACTATGATTACACTAAGTTATGGTTAGCTATGAATATTACGTTTTACTTCATTCAAGATATATGGGCTTTTAAAACAGCGTTGATTGAATTCAATGGCATAAAAGATAAAACTGTTTGCATATGAAAAGAAGAAACGTGTTTGTATAAAAATTCTAAAAAAACCAAGTTACATTTGAATGCTTCTAGTTTTTAATCAGAACTATCCACCATCAAATTATCCACCAATATATCAAACATACATTTTTACAATACGCCTCAAATAACAAACATAGATATCTATCGTTTTATTATTAAAAAGCCAAATTAACAGGGTTAATTTTTTTTAAACCATTTTAATGTGAAAACAATTAACTTTCACATTGAATCCTCAGATAATCTTCACGATGTCAAAGCCAGGAGAGGAGAAGGTCTCTGAAATATCTCCCGTCTTATTCCTGGAAGCCAGTGGACATTCAATGCGCTTCTATGTGAGACCCGGTCCGACTAAAACGCAGCTCTACCCTCTGATATCTAATGGCGGAGGCATTCTGTGTCGGAATCAAGAGCCCGGAGCCATTTTGCTGGTCGATCCGGGCGACGTGACCAGTGCGATGGCGAGCACTGGGCAGAAATACATCTCTTCGAAATTCATCCGAGATTGTGTAGAGCAGAACCAGCAGTTGGACCGGGACGACTATGTGATCAGTGTGGGACCGTCTGTCCAGACGAGGATGGCTGCCCGTCACCAGGGCACCGGACGTCTGGGTTACTCGCTTGAAGACGACGCCGCTATTGTGAAGTTCATGGAAAAGCGGCTGCATGAAGCCAAAGGAAACCTGGTTTGGAAAGAAATGGAGAAGCGGAGTGTCACCGGCCACAGTTGGCAGTCCATGAAGGATCGGTTTCTAAAGCACCTTCAGCACAAGCTTACGGAGAAAAGCCCGAAGAAAAGCCCCTCTAAAAGAAAAGCTCTTTTGTTTACTCAAAGCCCCTTATCGAAGAAGACAGCGACTCAGACCTCAGAACCAGAGGCTGATACAGACACCTCACGAAAGTCCGACGCTGTGTCGGATTCATCTGAAACGCAAATCTCCACAGAGTGTCCAACTGTTAGGACCATCCCTCCTCCTTCTCCCGAGAGAGCCAGTTCTCCTCCAGAGGCGGCCAGCGAGTCTCTGCATGAGCGGCAGGATGAATCCCGTGTCCCGGTCCAAGAGCAAGAAACTCCAGGGCCTCCTCCTTCTCCCGAGAGAGCCAGTTCTCCTCCAGAGGCGGCCAGCGAGTCTACACATGACCGGCAGGACGAGTCCCGTGTCCCGGTCCAAGAGCAAGAAACTTCAGGGCCTCCTCCTTCTCCCGAGAGAGCCAGTTCTCCTCCAGAGGCGGCCAGCGAGTCTACACATGACCGGCAGGACGAGTCCCGTGTCCCGGTCCAAGAGCAAGAAACTCCAGGGCCTCCTCCTTCTCCCGAGAGAGCCAGTTCTCCTCCAGAGGCGGCCAGCGAGTCTCCACATGAGCGGCAGGATGAATCCCGTGTCCCGGTCCAAGAGCAAGAAATTCCAGGGCCTGAAATATCCAAAAGTCCTAGATTAGAGGAAGATCGTGATGGACAAGACATTCCAGATGGTATTACATGATTTTATTTACTTACTGTGTTGTTCCTCAACAAGCTTTGTCCATAAACCTTCTTCATTTCACTTTACTTTAGGATCAAGTGAACAACCATCTCTCAACAAAACAAAACAAACAACCAGCAAAACCGCCACAGCTGATTCTAAGAAACTTGGGATTCTTGCAAAAGCTGCAAGAGAATTTGAGGACTCAGATGTGGTAAGATTGAACAGTATAAACCCCATGAAACTAGTATGAAAGTGTTTAGAAACCAACTTGAATTGGTTTCAACAATTTCTAAGATCTTCACAAGTTTTAACCCCTTAGCTGTCACCCCCCTTTTTGAGAATGGGGGTTAAAATGCACTTTTCAAACTTAAATGGTTCAAGAATGCTTTGGAATATATATACCCAACTTTGGTCTTGTTTTAAAGATAACACTCAGTAGATTATTGCTGAAGTGAAAAGACCTCAAAAAATGAAAGTATGAAAAAGTTATGGAAGTTTAAATTTACAGTAAATCAAATATACTGTACTATATATTTATTTTATATAAAATATATATTTTACAAAATGTTTTTACTCTAAAATTTCTATAAAATCAAAGCCATAAATCTTATCAAGTTATGTTCCAAATTTGAAGTTGATATCACAAAAATTGAAGATCCCATGAGATTTTATTTAGGTGTAGAACCAAAAATAGCCACCGGGTGCCATTGAATTTAGTTGTATACATTATGCCTTAACAAATTAATACATTTCTGTCATAAATATCAATTCTGTCACAAAATTTGGAACCTTGAGACTCTGACCTTTCTGACAATATCAGTTTTGTCAAGATTAGAAAAGGTTTTGATCATAAATTATGAAATATAATGACGCCCAAAAGGGGAGGAGCCTGATAAAATAAGTACCGTTTCTATGGTAACGCAACGTTCAATTATAAAACAATTTTCACACGATGAATTCTGAGTTTATAAGCTTTCAAATGATACCCAATTTATGATAACTACTAAAATATGTGATATAATAAAAAAGGCGATAAAAAATAATATTATATTTTAGAGGATAATAAATATAAATATTATCATTTTTAGAGGATAATATCATACTTTATTTTTTATAGAAAAATACTAGATTGTATGTTTTATTATGAACTTTTAGCATAAAAACAGAAGTTTCAATGATTAATAGTGGGTTCATCGACTTTTTGTAACAAAGGTCAAAACTCCTGTTACGATGCAGATTTTTTGAGGTGCACTCTTGTCATAAATTCATCAATTACTCTTCCTACATAATTTTTTAACACAAAACAGGGGTAGAATATTTATTTAGAAGTCTTAGACCATTCCAACGATATATAATTTGTCATAATTAGATTAGGATTTAATAGAAATATAGTGAAGTAAAGTTAGGCGTCCCGGTACCGGGACTGTGACCGTTAAGGGGTTAATGAGGTTTCCATTGCGTTTCAGCTAAGTGGATAAATGTGTAGTGACTTGAATGTATTTGCACAGATGGATGAAAGTGAAGAAGGGGAAGACCCATGTGAAGCCCCGATCGTCGAGCCCTCAGACGCACATGAAAGTTCGGCGACACCTTCGATGTTTGCCAGGGAACCAGAGAGCCAAGCTGAGCACCACGAGGAAGCCCGACAGGAATCAGCAGCACCTGAGGAAGAGGAGCGTCCCGGGCCCAGTTCCACAGCGTTCACCACCCACGCAATCATGCTAAACTCCGAGTCACGGGAACCAAACCACAGCCAGGCCGGAGGAACGCCGGAGGAAACCCTCACCAGGCTCAAGGAGCAGGTCAAGAGCTTGATGAGAGACAGTAAGAAAGAACTGGTTGAGGTGACCAAGGCGCTGTTGAAAGCCAGCGGTGACCTTGCACGCGCTCGGGTGTATCTGATCGATGGGTACGATCAGGAGATTCACGGGCCGCTCTGGAATCATCTGGACGACGAGGTCCTCCTGTTGGCGGATTCGTACGAACTTGAGCAGCTTCAGTTGAAATTCGGAGTGGAGGAAGTGAGCAGGAGAAGAGCCTTCCTCACGGCGGGCAAGAACTGAGAGGATTTGCTGTTGCTTGGTTTTACAATATCACTCAGTTTTATATTCTCAGTTCAGTTTTGTGTTGAAAAGTTCATATGAGAATTTTTGCTAATAATTACTTTGTTATTTATATATATAAATTAAAGTATTTTCCTTACTGATTGTGTGTAATTGTGTTAAACGCAGTATTATCGCAGTATTATAAGTTTAAAACACATTTACGTACATACTTTGTCTGTGGATCTTAATTGCAATCTATACAAATCTAAACCTAAAGTCTAATAACTGTTTTTGGATTATTGAAAAGATTTCAGCCTATTTGGGGCCAAAGTGTGGTCGCTTGAAGGACTAAAAAGGGCCCCTGGCTGGCTTTTGGTGATTTTGACAAAGGGTAAAACCAAATTCAACTGTATGTTTTGCACGAGGGCGATACAGTGCAGGTTTTTAAGTGGGTTCAAGTTGGCCACATTAAGTTTTTGAGTTGAAAGTGACTTTATGCTATTCATCACTACTCTCTTGATAATAGACGTTTACATTTCCATAATGTGACAGCACCTTTATTAGTTAGTTAGCGGTTCTCAGCTTGTATATTGTCGCTGACTTGTCAGATACGCTACTCTTTAAAGTAATTATCTTAAAATGTAATTCCTGAGGTGTAAAACTGATCAAAACGTTGCGCGAGCGGCATGGTATGGTCACGTGACATCTGTTACTTTTCTCAGCGCTGCTGACGATGGCTCAATCACAGTCCTTTGTGATTATTGGGAATGTTATTTAATCAGTGGCAGAGTGGAACAAATTTTCACGGGTAGCCTATGTCAGATACAGACAAATAGTAGATTTAAGTATAGTAGATTATATAGTAGATTTTAGATTTAACCCGACGTTTTTTAAAGCACACAAATATTTCCAGATAACGCAAATACTTTTAGGGATTCGTTTTTTTTTATTTTTTTTTTAGCGCTCAAGCGTCCCCTGCCGGAATAAAACGGTGGCAAAAAGTTATTAGTCAACAACATTTGCCGCCCAGTGGTCTTTAAATGGATTTGATGATTCGCTTTCATTCGTGTCTACGTATTTTGTCCTAAAACGCGCTCTATAGAAGTGAATCTTATGTGTTAAAGGAATTGGGTGGCACAATTTACGTGCTTACCTAAAGACAGTCTGTTTAAATTCCTGCAGGGGGCTCTACATGGCTCACAATGCCCACTCCCACATTCAATCATACTCAAAATACTGGATTTTGTTTACTAAATTGTATAGTTTTAATCTGTTGATTTCAAAGAGCGACACTTGACGTCTAAATACAAATCGACCAACGCAATCGCTAAATGATAAAGAAAACATTTATAAATGTCTCTGATTGGTCCATCCAGAACAGCACTGAGTAAAGATACACATTTTTTTTTTTTTACATATTTGTAACGACATTTTGAAATGTTAATAGACAATGAATTAAAAACTTAACGAGAAAAGATAAAATAAAAAAAGAATATTATTTAAACCCTTTCTTATCTGACCAATGAGAGACAAGTTTTGGGCCACAAGCTCCGCCCACTTTATCATCCGTCTCTTCTGAGTGCCATCCGCTCTGCTTATTGTATTTCTACGGTTAAAGGCAGCGACTGTAGACACATTTAAAGCGGAGTGTTTAATAACAAAATCTGCTGATCTTTAACAAACACAACACACCAAGTCAGTGAGTAAGTTACTGCTGGAGAAATTAAAGAAACCATAAGCGGTAATATCGCTAATATATGTGTATATCATATTTTATGTATTATCATAGCAGCTCTGGCTGTCAAATGTTCGACACGGAGCCTGAAACACATTAAATATTGTTTTTGATGCACATATGTTGGGCATTTTAGATCCCCGACAGTCCTTAAATCATATTTATATTGTTTTTAAACATATACATGTTGTTAATGCCATAAAGCCGTTATGTTAGCAAAATAGTGGCTAAAGCGAGAGAGAGGGGAGAGAGAGTGATTACATTGTGCAAATGTTTGTGTGTGTTTGCTAAAACAACAGCATGAAAACATTGAACCTGCAGGGTATTTAAATGTAGTTTAAGCCTGTTGTCAAAATGATTTCTAGTTTACACTGCATTGTTCTACATTGTATTTATGTTGTTATTACACAAAAAGATAAACATAAATACGGATTCTGCTAAAATATAAACAATCGTCTAACTATCATCTAACAAAAATGAAGGCCTGTACCATACATATTTTTTTGACTACTGTGTTTTGATTTGGACATATACTACGGTAGTGTCATATAAATATAATGTAGCATTTAAGCATGTAGCACCTTATCTGATAAGTCACTGGTACTTCTTCTGTACTGTAGTATATATATTTTAAATATTGTGAAATGTGGTAATTTTTGAATGCAGTAATTGGTCTGTGTTTGTTTGTCAGATCAGTGATCTGTCTAGAGGCAGAATGAGCACAAAGGGTGGCACTGCCCTGTCCCGACGCAACTATCGCCTGGCATCCGACACAGACAAACCCAAAGTCACAGGTATTTCCCTCTAAAATAACATTTTATAGCAGGTTACCCCCTGTAAATACATTAAACAAGAATAAGATGTGTTAATTATGTGTGTTTTCTCAGGTATTGTCAATGAGAAGTTACTGAGCGACTATCTACACCATGTGTTTCCTGCCTCCAGTAAGCAGGGACCAGCATCGGCCGTGTACAGGTTAGTTCATTGAAAAGGGTTTTGGGGCTTTTGCCTCGTTCTATATAGAATTTTTATTTAATTAATAAAAAAAAAATTGTGTATATATATACATAGGCTACGTATCAGTAATCAGTAATGTAATCCAAGCACCACAATATGAAAGTAATGTAATCTGATTACTTTTGGATTCCAAGGTCACAAATGCAAATAAAGAAAGTCAAGTAAAAAGCAATATTTATGTGAATGATTGAAGGCGGCTCACGTGATCATGACTCGCAACAGAACCGATCACTTGTTTAGCGTTCATGTAAACACTACATTCAGATTCACCAATCAGAATGAATTCAGTAAGATTGAAACAAAAGCTGTGCATGTAAACAATGAATGGCGACTGCAGAAAGCAAAAACTGAATCCCGGACATCGACGGCCGGACATGTCCGGGAAAAAGAGGATGGTAACTGCTAAAGGTACTAGTCAGCTTTCTCCACAGAACAAGAGCCTGCTAGCTTAGCTTCCAAAACAAGATGGCCGACACTTTGTGTAATCCCAATCCTCTATAATGCATCCGTCTGTGTATTCAGTACCTTCGTCCATATTTTCCAAACGTTTCTGCCGGTGAAATCAAATGCACTGGCACTGATCTATGATTGGTCTGTTAGCGCATTAGGCCCAACCCCCTATGGGCGGGTTTGAAAGGGTGGGATCTAGTGCTTATAGGCTTTACAGAAATCCCCCCTCTTATACTTCCTCCTACAATGATGTAAAATGACTGTTTTTGCGTCATTGTAGGACGAAGTGAAAAAGGTAAATAGCAGATTTCTCTCGTCTCAGGGGAAAATGAGAGAGTGTTGCACGACCATTCAATAGTATAACTGGGTTTCTAACAATGGAAAGCTTAATGCAAATGGGTGGAGTGTCCCTTTAAAAACCTAAACTCAGACTTTACTCCCACTGTTCCATCTTTGCAACTTCTCAAATTAAATACGTTCACCCCAAGCAAAGGCTGGATATAGGCTTCATGAGTCATACATTTCTCTCCTGAAAAGTAGCTAGCCTCGCTAGGGTAGTCGGTTACAATGCAGTACATCCGATTTCACTTATTATCACCTAAAGATATTAAGGACAATGACGCAGTGCACAGATCCCGAGGGTGCCACCGCTCCATACACGCAGAGTATAACCAACTATATAATTGCAAGATCATCTCCAATCTCATTTTTCTGTCCAACACCATGTCACTTCTCCTTAGAATGTCATTTCCGAACATAGTTTTCAGCTTCGGTACTTTAGTGGCTATTTGTCCATAAACTTAAGCAAAAACAAATACTAACAAACTTGAGGCTACGTCATGGTTAGGCTTTACGCAGGTTCAGAGGTACCAAAGCAAAGTGATTTCCATACCAAGATTGAGTTTGAGGAGGTTTATTCACACAGTTAAGCAAGCTCACAGACATTTCTGCTGCCTCTCTCACGCTGGTAAAAAACCATATGCCCTCTCACTCGTTGTTTCGCTTCCCGGGAGATGTAGTTCATAGAGCGATTTTCACATAAAACTAAATGTTACTCTTCTGTTTTTGACTTTCAGAATTATCTTTTAAATTGACAAACATCATATGTGTAATTGAGGGCACAGTTCAGACAAATTAAAAAGATAAGTTGTCTCTCGCCATTGACTACCATTCATATTTTTTCCGAAATAAGGTCCTATGAGCCGGAAGCGGAGGGGCGGGACTTAGGCTCTCTATAACTAACTAAAAACAAACTAATTTTAAAAACAAACTCTTTAAATTACCAGCGTAATTATCAGCGTAAATGACAGAAACCATATTTCGAAAAACGATTTTTGAAGTGTAATTTAATTGTTTAGTTGGTCTCGCGTGCGCAGGCGGGGTTTATGACCTATACTAGGACCGGCCACCGGGGGGCGATCAAGACGTTTTGGCTTGACTTTTCAGGGCTTGTGCGGCACGTTTGTTTTGAACCATTATGTTTGTCTATGTGGTTGTAGTCTGAGGGACTAGAGTTCTGTGCAGGATGCATATTTCAATCCCGCTCCCGCAAGATTATGAACCCTGCCCGCCCGCTTCCAGCTCACTCCCGAAATGTTCACGCTTTGTCATTCATGTTCTGAATATGTTGCTTCACAGTAGCCTACACTTGCAATCTTTAGTCCAAGATTGTTGGACAAAAAAAATTGGCCACTGGATTAGTTTAGTCCGGTTATAGGACTATGTACAACTGCGAACAGCACTCCTGAAATGTTCACGCTTTGTCCCGTTTCTGCCCCCAAAAGCCTGTAGGAAGAGGTCTACGCTATTTTTCACTCCCGATCTAGGTAGATTCTGTCCTGTTTTGATGTCTTTAGGCTATTTTTTCCAATTTCCTTCGTACATATCCATATCTTCCATCCCGCATCCGCACTCCACAATTCAAAACTTGTCCCGCGACACACTCTGCAGAACTCTAGGAGTGACTTTCTTATTCTAGGGAGCATCTGATTGGACAAACATCAAGGATGAGTCATCAGTTTATTTGATCTGCTTACTTTTTTTATTTAACACAACATAACAAATCATGAAGAGATATAGTGTGATGCATTAGTGGATGTTGCTGGTGTGTTGTGCCATTGGCTCTGTCCTGTGCTCACCTCCAGCCAGTGTCTGGTTACTGGTGCTGATCTATACATAGAGCATGATGGGACATGAGAGCCAGCTGACATTCGCAGAGCCTTTGAAAAGGGTGGATTTGTTTACATATGATCTCGAATCGTGTAATTTATGTCAGGCACCATGATGGGAATCTGTCACCACTGTGTGAAGTCATGTGATAGTAGACTTGACTTTATCCACAGATATTTAGCTTAGATGAAACTTGAGATGTTTTGGTCTGTTTGATCCTGCCCACGGCCAATTTACTCAATATTGTTTTGACACCCTGGGTTGCCTGTTGATGGAAAACACAACATATTGCAGCCATTGAAGCCAACAAATGATCCAAGTCAGAGATCACAGATTCTACCTGACCTAAAGATCCTCGTTAGTTTAGTTCGAAACGGGGACAACATGTACAGTTGGTAATGTGAAAGCTGTCATGCCACCCTTGAGGGCACTGAACCCGAAAATGAAGGCAACTGACACTAAAGTAGAAGAAAAGTAACCTCTGCATGCATTTGGGGGTACTGGGAATAAAAAGCTCCTTGACTAGAGGCTTATTAAAACGCATAGAAATCAACTTACAGGGTAAGGGCCGTCGGCTTCAATTGTCCGTTGTGCTCGTTCCTGTTGCTTGTCCTCAATCTGCCAACCCGCGTGAGCGTCGAGTCTGAGGAGAAACAACCCTGTCCAATATTTTATATTTGGACTGCAGTACCCATTTCAACCACTAGTAGTCAATATTACATACTGCACCCTTAAAGGGTTAGTTCACCCAAAAATGTAAATTCTGTCAGTATTTACTCACCCTCATGTTGTTTCAACCCCGTAAGACCTTCGTTCATCTTCGGAACACAAATTAAGATATTTAAGATATTAAGATCGCTCCTGCATACAGTCCATAGGCTTCTTGAGGGAATGACACTTGCTGTCCTCGAAAAGTCATTAAAGACATCGTTAAAATAGTCCAAGTGACTACAGGGGCTCAATCTTAAGTTTATCAAACGACGAGAACACTTTTGTGCGCAAAAAAAACAACAAAAATAACGAGTTTATTTCAACTATTCGTTTATTTCTCCCTCTGCGCGAGTCAGGTTACTAGTTTAATAGCGTAAGCTTCTGTTATTGTACGTCACACGCATCACTCACATGACCAATAGTGAGCCTACGTGTGACGTAGCTTTACGCAATCACACTACGTTAACTGACCACAGGCTCATGGAGAAGGAAGTGAATAGTTGAAATAAACTCGTTATTTTTGTTGTTTTTTTGCGCACAAAAGTGTTCTCGTCGTTTGATAAACTTAAGATTGAGCCCCTGTAGTCACTTGGACTATTTTAACGATGTCTTTAATGACTTTTCGAGGACAGCAAGTGTCATTCCCTCAAGAAGCCTATGGACTGTATGCAGGAGCGATCTTAATATCTTAAATATCTTAATTTGTGTTCCGAAGATGAACGAAGGTCTTACGGGGTTGGAACAACATGAGGGTGAGTAAATACTGACAGAATTTTCATTTTTGGGTGAACTAACCCTTTAAGGCTACATTTACAAAACAACTTTTTTCTTTGTGTCTTTTCTCGTAAAGACAAAAAAAAGACCTCGAAAAATATATAGATTTTTTTTTATAATTCAAAACTTGTACTTTGAAACTGGTTTTCAAAAGTTTGCATTTTCAGGCCCAGTAAAACTCAGTTGTTATAGTGTCATAGCTAGTGTGTTTTGGGTGGTTGGCTGTTTGTTGACATGCTTTTTTCTAGTGTATTTTTTACAATTTACATTTCACAATTTTGCAATCTAGATTAGAAATAGTGCAGAAATAGATTTTTTTTTATTTAACATCTAAGTCTTTTTTTGTATAATGTTTTCCATATTTAAATTCCCATATATTCATTGTGGATTCTTTTATTATACTTTAATAAACCTATTAATAGTATGTAACCTGACAACCCATCATGTCTCTTCCATGTAGAAAAACCCTGACGTTCCAGGATCTTGGAGCTCACCTGGAGAAGCTGCTGGCTGAAGATACCGTCGCTGAGGACGGCAAAGGTCAAACAACCACTTACACATACACTCTTACCTGTGCTGCTGAGTGTCTCACAAATGAGACCTAAATACATTTATTAAAATAAAAATCACCTATTTTTTTTTGTATTTACTCATACTTATGAAACTTCTTATGAATTATCTATAGTCTATTACCCCCAAATATTAATTTCATTTTTGTTTATTTTTATGTTTGGTCATTTATTTATTTATTTTGATTGATTACGGGGATGTTTTCTGCCATGCTTTCATTGATTTGATGATTTTTTTTCCCTCTTTTTGTATACAGATCAGATAGAAGGCTGCCTTGGACCTTCAACTGTTGTATTGGATCACAGCAGTGGGTTTGAAGGGCTGTTATTTGTTGACGATGATCTTTTGGGGGTGAGAAATTGATCTCTCTAGATTTTTTTAACATATTGTACTACTACAAATTATCTGGCAAGTAAAACTTCAAATTCAAGTCAGATTTAAAGTGCCCCCATTAGGCTTTTTTGGATGTGATATTTAATGTAGTTTGTAATATAGCTCTTTGTGAGATGCACAAGGTCTGCAAAGTTTCAAAGATAAGTTAAGTTTTTTTTTCCCCCAAAAAGAAGAGCCATTATTTCAGTCCTACCTACACTACATTTTTTGTAATAAATTTGCATAATGCCAGTCTATGGTCTTCATCTACTTTGACCCACCTCAAACACTGTAGTTGTAGCTGAGGCATGGAAGAGTTTGGTTCGGGTTGTTGATATGTTAGATGGCGCTGTTTTTTTGAGCTGCAAAAGCAAATCCGCTTTATATGCACTTGCAAAGGATGAGGATTTGCGGTCGGATTGGTACGGTCACCCTAAAACACTAAAACACTAAAACTGACACCATTGTTAGGGTTCATATCACTGTTTCTAAAACGCTCTGTTAGCAGTTGACCAATCAAATCTGAGTAGGCCAATCACAGCAGACTGGGCAATCTGACCCATCAGAGCAGAGTTGACCAATCACAACAGACTGGGACACCTGACCAATCATATCTGAGTAGACCAATCACAACAGACTGGGCAATCTGACCAATCAGAGAGGAGTAGATTAATCACATCAGACTGGGACACCTGACCAATCAGAGAGGAGTAGATCAATCACATCAGACTGGGACACCTGACCAATCATATCTGAGTAGACCAATCACAACAGACTGGGCAATTTGACCAATCAGATCTGAGTAGACCAATCACATCAGACTGGGACACCTGACCAATCATATCTGAGTAGACCAATCACAACAGACTGGGCAATCTGACCAATCAGATCTGAGTAGATCAATCACATCAGACTGGGACACCTGACCAATCATATCTGACTAGATCAATCACAACAGACTGGGCAATCTGACCAATCATATCTGACTAGATCAATCACAACAGACTGGGCAATCTGACCAATCAGAGCGGAGTAGATTAATCACATCAGACTGGGACACCTGACCAATCAGAGAGGAGTAGATCAATCACATCAGACTGGGACACCTGACCAATCATATCTGAGTAGATCAATCACAACAGACTGGGCAATCTGACCAATCAGATCTGAGTAGACCAATCACAACTGACTGGCCCATCTGACCAATCAGAGCAGAGTAGCCCAATCACAACAGAGCTGGGCCATCAGAGCAGAGTAGACCAATCACAACAGACTGGGTCATCTGACCAATCAGAGCAGAGTAGACCAATCACAACAGACCAGAAAATTCACAGACCACTTTAAATTCACTTCAAATTTAAGTCAGTTCACTATTATATTGGTTTGATGGTGAAAATGGTTTGCACAGTAACACCAGAAATATCTATTAAGATATGTTGCTTACTGGTAAATGTGTTCAGTTTTGTTCTTCCTCTCTTTCTTGATTGAAGGTCATCGGCCACAGTAACTTCAGCTCCATCAGAGCCACCACATGTGTTTACAAAGGTAACTTTTCAATAACGAAAATGTACCAATTCCTTGCTATTCTTAAAGTAAGTTGGAGTTAATGTACATCTAAATATAGCTGCAAACAGCAATTATCTGGGCCAACAAGTCAAGCCAACATGGATGGGAGCATCAGACCAACTGCCACAACCAGCAATTAAAGATATTTTGAGATGATTTTAGGCAAAATGGCTGAAAAATCATAAATGCATTCACTAGTAATTTGATTTAATGGTTTATCATTTCCGACCAATAGGTGACGCTGTGACCAAATTGATGTGGTTTGTGTGGTCAGAGTAAGGTGATAATGACACATGCATAGTTTGGTGTCAGCATGCCAAAGCATCGGAGAAATACAGCCTCAAAGTAATTTTGGCATCAAGCCTCAACTTTCGGTATAAAAAATTGGTATCTATGTTCTCGACAGGACCCAAGAAATCATTACATCAGACTAATTTAATATTAATAATATATGTTAGAGTTTGAAAACACCTTCTGGTGCTACTTGGACATGTCATCAGTGACAAACAATATTAATTAAAAAAGTTATTAGCACTTATGGAAACTTTATTATAACTTTTGACCACAAGGTAGGACTGTCCCGAAACTTTTCAAGTACCTTCAGGGCATCACAACGATATGCCAAATGTGTTCGTAAAATATAGTATTTTATAACGAAATTCAAAATGGCTGAAGCGCAAAATGACCAAAATGGAGAAATTGGGTATAGTTCAACTCGACATGCTGCACCAAATCTAAGGAGACCAGTTAATAGCAAAAGTAGCCATTTTTCATATCTCCTGACCACTAGGTGGCACTGTGCCAAAACTGCGCAGGTAGACTCAGTCCATGGTTGTCATAACACACACCAAATTTGGTCAAAATACGCTAAAGCGTTAGGAAGATAGAGCCTCACTGTCATTTTGGTGTGCTCTTCGTCGAGTTTCTTTGCGTGTTATTCGATAACTTGAATTCTATACATTTTTTATTTGTCGGCCTGGTCTAAAGACGATCGGTTTAAATTTTCGTGAAAATCTGAGCGTATACCTGGAACTACATATTTCATGACGTCTTGAGTCAAGGAAAGTAGAGGAAAAAATACTTTTGTTTCTAGCTCTTACGGTTCAAAAGTTATTAGCATATACTTTGGACAGTTGGTGGCGCTAGAGGGATTGAGTTAGAGGCTCCAAATTTGCTATGGTGATAGTTCAGACTGTCCTCTATCTGTGTGCCTAATTTCACATCTCTCCCGCAAGTGGTTCTATGGGCCGCCATAGACAAGAACAATAAGAACGCCAACGATTACAATCGTTGCTTGACCCCTAATAATAAAAAACACAAATTAAAACAATTACTGTATTATTGTATCACCACGAAATGTATTATTTTTTAATCGCTTTTAATTGGTTTTAGGGAAATGGGTCTATGAAGTTCTCATCTCATCTCAAGGCCTAATGCAAATCGGATGGTGCACACTGAACTGCAGATTCAACCAAGAGGTACAAGCCTTCATTTGTGAAGTAACCATTCACTTGTCAACTTTGGAGAGCAGAGCCTCAGCTAGCTCTCATGGGAAGCTTTTCAAGCAGCAGAAATCACGTAGATTAATCTAGATTACATGATGATTGTTCGCTCTGCTCTACAAATCCTTTTTTAAGTGTCTGGTTTGGCTTAATCCATCTGTAAAATTGGATTGTTCAAGTGTATTAACCCTTTAGCTGTTAACCCCATTTTTGAGAATGGGGGTTAAAATGCACTATTCAAACTTAAATGGTTGTAATTCAAGAATGCTTTGGAATATACCCAAGTTTGGTCTTGTTTTAAAGAAAACACTCAGCAGATTGAAAAAACGTAAAAAATGAAAGTATGAAAAAGTTATGGAAGTTTAAATTTACAGTAAATCAAATATACTGTACTATATATTTGTCATTTTATATAAAATACATATTTTACAAAATAGTTTTTACTCTGAAATTACTATAAAATCAAAGCCATAAATCTAATCCAAATTTGAAGTTGATATCACAAAAATTGAAGATCCCATGAGATTTTATTTAGGTGTAGTACCAAAAATAGCCACCGGGTGCCATTGAATTTAGTTGTATACGTTTTTCCTTAACAAATTAATACATTTCTGTCCAAATCTAAAAATTTGGAACCTTTAGACTCAGACCTTTCTGACAATATGTTTTTTTGTCAAGATGAGAAAAGGTTTTTTATCATAAATTATGAAATATAATGATGCCCAAAAGGGGCGGAGCCTGATAAAATAATTTAGAGACTGTTTCTATGGTAACGCAACGCTCAATTATAAACGGTTTTCACAGGATGGATTCTGAGTTTGTAAGCTTTCAAATGATACCTAATTTATAAGAGATATAATAAAAAAAGGCGATAAAAAAGATAATATTATATTTTAGAGGATAATATATATTATAATTTTTAGAGGATAATATTATATTATATTTTTTATTGAAAAATACTACATTGTATGTTTATTATTATGAACTTTTAGCATGAAAACCCAAAGTTTCAATTATTAAAGTTGTGTGCGTCAACTTTTTGTGGTCAGAAGCAAAAAATCATCGGTTACTCTTCTTACATAATTTGTAGCAAAAAAACAGCAGTCAAATATCTATTTAGCAATCCTAGACCTTTCCAACGACATATAGTTTGTCATGACTATGACAATTCTGCTCTGCGCTTGTCTTCAGGAAGGGGTCGGGGACACGCCGGACTCATACGCCTACGACGGAAACAGAGTCCGCAAATGGAATGTGACAACCACCAACTACGGCAAGGTGAAATCACAGCGCTTTACACATCCAGGTCACGGGTCATGCTCAGTTTGTCCTTGTGAATTTGGTTGACCTTGACAGTTAAAGTCTTAGAGTGATATAACTTGCTCAGCCTCTGCTAAAGATTTCTGACTCCACATTTTGAGCCAATGTTTTATGAAAGCCACTGAATGCAATAACCTCTGTTAATGGTAAAATGATTGTAATGCTGATGCGTTGTTTTCATTTGTTTTAACGTAGTCCTGGGCTGCTGGCGATATTGTCAGCTGTTTGATTGATTTGGATGAGGGAACGATTACATTTTGCCTGTAAGTATAGGTTTATTATTGGATGTACGTTATAGTTTGGTGTGAAAGAATTTATAATCAGTATGTTAAAGAAGTATATCTGTTGAATTTTTTTCTGTTTTTAGAAACGGGCAGTCTCTTGGTGTTGCGTTCAGCAATATTAAGACGGGGCCGGGCGTCGCATATTTCCCTGCGATCAGTCTTTCCTTCAAAGAGTCTGTAGCCTTCAATTTCGGCAGCCGTCCTCTCAGATATCCTTATTTATATACATATACAGACAGATTTTAAATGGTTCAGTCACATTTATATAATGTGTGTTGTATTCAATTTAATTAAAAGTCAATTTTTAATAAATTAACTAAATATGTATAACATTACATTTTTATAATTAGATATTATTTATAATAAATTAGTATATATTTATGCTTACCATAATGTTAATTTCAAGTACTTAAAGTTGTTTATGACTTGGATATGGTAAGTGATAAGAAATGCATTTAAGCATTAATAAATAGTGAGTTTTATTGAATAATAATTTATTACAATGTAGACCGATTAATAAGTCTTCCAAATACAAGTAAATACATTTTGTTTTTTTTTAAGTAAAATTGACTAATAATATGATATACATTCAAATCATCATATTAGAGTGATTTCTGAAGGATCACGTGACACTGAAGACTGGAGTAATGATGCTGGAAATTCAGCTTTGATCACATGAATTACATTTTTAAAAATAGAACTTTCCAAACTTTTAGAGTAATATTAAGTATTGTAAATAATTTTCAGAATCATTACTCCAGTCTTCAGTGTCACATGATCCTTCAGAAATCACTCTAATATGAGGATTTGATGCTCAAGAAACATTTATGATTATTAAAAACTAGGGCTGTCAAACGATTAATAAAAGTTTGTGTTTACATAATATATGTGGGTGCACTGTGTATAATTGTTTGTATATATATATATATATATATATATATATATATATATAAATACACACACATGCATGTATATTTTAGAAAAAATATTATTTATATATAAATATTAATATTTATATATAATATAAATTATATATACAATATATACATGGAAATATTTCTTAAATATATACAATAATTTTTTTTCATGTGTATATATAAGAAAAAAATATAAAATATTTATATTTATATATAATATAAATGATATATAAATCTAGATACAATATAATCATGCTAATATTTCTTAAATATGTACAAGCATGTGTGTGTATTTATATATATATATATATATACAAAATAATTATACACAGTGCACCCACATATATTATGTAAACACAAACTTTTATTTTGCATGCTATTAATTGCGATTAATCGTTTGACAGCCCTATTAAAAACTGCTAATTAATAATTTTGTGGAAACCGTAAAAATATTTAATCAATTTGAAGTATAATATAATCTTTAAACTCAAACCTTTGAACGATAATGTGTGTGTGTGTGTGTGTATATATATATATATATATATATATAGTATAATTCATGTTTTTCAAGTGAAATAAAAGCAAGATGTATAAGTGAGAGGTGAGAAACCCATGAATTCCTTAACCCATCTGTTCTTCACGTACCCTGTGGAAGGTTACCTTCCTCTTCAAAGCCCACCAGCCACTGACCTCATCAAAGCCAACAGGCTTCTGGGATACCTCAAGACGGCTCTGTCCACCTCCATCGACACTCAGGTACCCAAAGAGGCCAAGACAAGACAATTCCCACATTAAAGGGTCATGTGTCATTATATAAAGAAGAACCATTGTGCTTTTTTACATTTTCAACTTTCTATAGTGTGTAATGTTGCTGTTTGACTATAAAAAGGGTCTGAACATTTGACAGTAAAGCACTGAGCTTGAATTGAGATGCAGATACAATAAAATTGTATCAACAACAGTAACATGTAAAAACCTATTTATTGGGAAACATTTAAATCTGAACAAATATAACATTTAAATGGGGTAATTTAATGCTGGAAAAAGTGTGAAGCACACGAAAGTGCTTGAATCTCTCTCTCAAAGGTTGTACGAACCCTATAATGAATATTGTAAAAACATTTGGCTATTTTTGCCACAATACCATGGTTACAGTTAGCGTTACTACTTTAAATCCATGGAATCCATGTGAAAGCCTTCTATACTTGTTCATTCATGAAACAATGTTTCTTCTGGTTTCCATGATCTGATATCTGGTTTATTTCAGAGAATTCAGCGTCAAAGTTTAATGAATGTGTCATAGTATCCCTAATTTTTCCCTGGTTGAGTTGGGAAAAATCAGCGGACCAATCAGAGGCATCGTGCTTTTCTGGAAGGAGGGGCTTCTTAGAGACAGGAACTAAACAGGGGTGCGTTTCCCGAAAGCATCGTTAGCCGACTATGGCCTCAAGTTGGTCGCAATTTCCATTGAACTCTATTGGTAACGACACGAACTTGCGACCATAGTTGGCTAACGATGCTTTCGGGAAACGCACCCCAGAGCGATACTGGAGACAATGGAGAATATGGGGAAAAAATAATGTGTTTTGAACATTTAAAGGAGAACTTCGGTCAATTTTAACATTGAGCTCATTGTTTTGTACATTTGGAGAGCTGTCAGTACAGACAAAAACGACAAAAATCGGTGTTGCCTACAGCGTGTTATCCTCTTTTTAATATTCGCACCCTGTTGACTTCAATGGGGCATGTTTTAAACCTGCTTTTAGCCTCTTAACATCCTTGATTTGTCATTACGAGTGCACAGCCACGTGAGTGGTGTTATTAAGAGTGACCACGGTCAATCTGACTGCAGTAGATGTGAAATACAGTATATTAATAAAAATGATGTTAATTCAGCCAGCTCACATACCTCTATTTACTTCCTGTTTTCGGTTGAAGCCCACAGTAGTCGATTGTCGATCTCACGATCGCGATCATTAGTGAATATCATCTCCAACCACCTCCGTGTGTGCAACATCTGATTTGGATGAACAATCCATTTGAGCTGATATTCTCAGAACACCACACAGTGGTAGGTTTGAGATGATATTCACTGATGATCGCGCGCGCGAACTCGACAATCGACTACTCTGGGCTTTGACCGAAAACAGGAAGTAAATACAGGTATGTGAGCTGGCTAGGGCTGCACGATTATGGCAAAAATCATTATTGTGGATTATTGCCTTGAAGTTATAATTGCGATTATTAATTACGATGATCACAATTTACATTGAATGATGTTTTGAACAGCTTCGAAGTGACTGCATGCAAATTGTTATATCAAAATAAAACAGCTGAAAACTCCTCCTGGGAAACTTTCAATGCTTTTCTATGGTTTAAAGTAACACCAAGTAATTTTTCCTCTTCGGTCGCCCTACTGGTTGGAAACGAAATTGTCCATTGCCGCTGTCGTAAATAATTTAGCCTACCGTCGCACGCTCGCTCGCTATTTATCCAGCACCGGCTTTAGAATGAACGATGTCTACAGACAAGGTAGAGTATGTTACATGATTTCATGAAAGGATGATGTATTTCGATATCAAAAGTGAAGAAAAACGAAATAATGACTATTGTAGCGCTTGACGTAAAGCAGTCGAATTTTGTAGTTCTTTTTGTGGACTGGTTCCTACCCGAACCCCGAAGTTACATAGTGCCAGTAAAAGTGTTACAGACCCCGTCAGGCGATGGCAGAAGTGCCTTTCACCCTGTTACGACTTGATGAACCACTGATAAGATTTTGGAAACATTATTTTAAGGTAAAAAAATGTTAGGTAGTGTTGCTTTAATGCTAATTATAATGTTACACTAACTAAAATTAAAACAATGGGGAAAAAACCCTTAAGATAAGCTGTAAAAAAACCACACATTTTAAGCACACAGAATAATAAAAGTGGACTTTTTGTAATTGTGCCTTTGAACGATTACATAATTGTGGCATCCATAATTGTAGTCGCGATTACAAATTCGATTAATTGCAGCCCTAGAGCTGGCTGAATTAACATCATTTTTATTAATATCTTTCACATCTACTGCAGTCAGATTGACCGTGGTCACTCTTAATAACACCACTCACATGGCTGTGCACTTGTAATGACGAATCAAGGATGTTAAGAGGCTAAAAGCAGGTTTAAAACATGCCCCATTGAAGTCAACAGGGTGCGAATATTAAAAAGACGATAACACGCTGTAGGCAACACTGATTTTTGTCGTTTTTGTCTGTACTGACAGCTCTCCAAATGTACAAAACAATGAGCTCAATGTTAAAATTGACCGGAGTTCTCCTTTAAGCACGAAAACCTACTCTAGTAGAGCCCAAAAACAAAATCAAGACTTTATAAAAGGGCATAAAATGGCTATATGTGAAGACATTTGATTTTCTCTTTCGTCAGGAGGAAAAGATTGTTGAGAAAGAGAGCGGGACCTGGCATCTTCAAGGAGAGCCCACCGTCCTGGTCACCCTCGCACATATATTTAACCACTTTGCACCTCTCATGGTAAATCAGTGAAATCAGTTTCAGTTAAACCTTTGTCATTGTGCCATAAACCACTTTACTTATTGGGAATGTGTGTGTTTGTTTGGTAGTGTAAAGTGTACTTGGTGGAGGATGTGCTGATGAACTTCCTGTTGAGTATACTGGAGGGAGGAGGATCTGTCGACGAGCATCCATTCATACATCAGCTGCTGGACCTTTTCTGGCTTCTCATGGAGGTACGGACCAGAGATTGTCTAATTGAAGAGAATTGGCACTGGCTGGTTACTTCCACGTCTCTGTCCATGCGGAGGCGCTCACGGTCGAGTGCAGAATGAATGGGAGTCAATGGGGTTTCACCCCCAGAAATCCTACTACTTTTTGTCAAGTAGTTTGAAAGTTGCATTCAAAAGGGAGGGCTAAGATAATACACTGAGCTGAAAATTGCATTTTTAAGTTCACTTATCTGTTCTAAAAATCCGTTCAAAAATGTGATGACGTCACACAATAGCAGAATGCTAGCGTGCTCCGGCCAACAACGGCCTAACCTGTAAGAAATCAAAAGGACATAAGTACTCGTTCATTCGACTTTTGGCCTATAATCTATATTGAACTTGCGGAAACAACAATAAAGTCTATGTTAATTTAACGACAAGCAGGTGAAAGACACACTTTTAGCCGTTTAGCCCCATAGACTCCCATTCATTCTGCTCTCGCCCGCGATCACCTCCAGTGGAATTCTAATGGAACTGCAACCAAGATGATACACAACGGCGCTAATAGGAAGTGCCAAGGCTCTCCGTTAGACGGGCTCTGGTACAGACACAAAAAGTTCAATTTAAAATCTGCCTTAGGGTTCACAATTGGCAGGTTTGGTTCAATTAAAACAAACTGGTGCGGTCGCTCCGTAAGTGCGAACGCTGCCATCCAAACCCTGGTGTGCACCAAATAATTGAATCGAGCCCCCTAAAAAGGTTGGTTTTGGTCTGTTTCTAAACGAACTCTAGTGCGGTTTGACTGAGATTTTAACTCTACACGGGTCAACGATACCTAAACAAACCAAAAACCAGACGTGATGTCCCGTGATGAAATTTTTTTTTTTCCATCATATTCGCGATGTTGCTCATTATAGGATCATTATAGCTCTTCTTGAGTTCTTAGCTTAGCTGTAAATGCTAAGCGAACCAGGACTGAATGTATCTTATTCTTTTTTGTTCCGGACGAACGAACGAGAGAACGAACGAAAGAACGACCAAACGAATGGCCGAACGAAACGAACGACCGAACGAACGTCAAAATGAACGACCGAACGACCAAATGAACGACCGAACGACCGACCGACCAAACGAACGGCCGAACGAAACGAACGACAAAAGAACGACCGACCGACCGAACGAACCGACCGACCAAACGAACGACCGAATGAACGACCGACCGACCAAACGAACGAACGACCAAACGAACGAACGAACGACCGAACAAACGAACGACCGGCCGGCCGGCCGGACAGAATGATATTTATGAACTATGGCAGATCTCCAAATGTATTTTTTTTGTCATTTTTTGTTCTCCTCTTGAAGGACTATGAGGTGAATGAGTGTCTAAAACAGCTGATGATGTCACTGCTGAGAGCGTATCGTTTCTCTCCCATCATCCCTGATCTGGGCTTTCAGGTGAGAAGCTGAATGATTCATCTCTCATGCAAATCCATAAGCTGTTGTAATGTCATATCGGCATTAGCATGTCAGTTTGTTAAAACGGTGGTGTCCCAGACAGCAAGCTGACATTGAATCAACGTGGAAACGACGTCTCTCATGACATTGAAACAACGTTGATTTTGCTCATCGAATTAACGTTGAACCAACGTCAGACGCGGCATTCTTCAAAGCTAAATGAAAATCGAAAATTGGTTTGCTTTCATAACGTTGAAACAACGCGTTGATTT